TAAGTCGCTGGACACTCCCACATGGCCGACCAGAGTTCGAGTCCTGAATCTGGTGGCTTGCTTTCTCACTTCCTCTCTCTCTCACCTCTGTCTCTCTGGTCAAATTAAAAAATAAATGAATGAATAAATACAAAATAAAATAAATAATTTTAAAAATAATAATTATTATTATTTTGTTGGCACTAGCAGTTAGCGTAATGGCTATGTCGCTGGACTCCCATGTAGTCTACCACGGTTCAAGTCCAGGACCCGGTGGCTTAAACTCAGGCTGGGCGCCCAAGATCCCAAGAGAAGAAGGGATTGCAGTGTGGCTATCCCCCCTGGGGCGTGATTTCCCTCTCTCTGTCTCTTTCTGGCGCGCAAGAGCCCTATAGCAAAAACCTCTAAAAATATATATATATTATTTTGTTTTAACTTTTTTTTAATTTGACCAGAGTGTGTGAGAGAAAGTGAGAAAGTAAGCCATCAGGTCCACGACTCCAACCGTGATTGGCGGCATGGGAGTCCAGCTCCCTTAACTACCATGCTACCTGCTGGCCCAATTCATTTTCTTTTTTGAAATTATGTATTTATTTCCATGGGGGGAGAGACAGAGAAAGAAAGCTATGCTTCCATCCTCACCTCATCCCTGGAGGCAGTCAGGTTCACTGGCTCCCCTTGCTGGTTCAGACCTTGGGATACCATCCTTGGTCTTTACCATATGGCTTCAGCTTTTCCCAGGCAGCGCCCCTTCTGCCTACCCCTTGGCTCTCATGTCTAAGTTCATTTTTTTTTCTTAGAGTTATTTCACTTTACTTTTACTATTATTGTTGCTATTTTAAAATTTGACCAGAGAGAGATATAGAGAAAGGGAGAAAGAGGAAGGGAGAAAGCAACTGCTGGTTCCAACTTTTTATTTCTTTAAAGGCTGGTTTATTGAGGGACCAGCAGATGGCATGACTACATCATTGGACTCCCATGTAGTTGACCATGGTTTGAGTCCTGGACCTGGTGGCTTAAACTCACGTTGGGTGCATGTGCGTGCATGCCCAAGATCCTGAGAAGAGAATGGAGAAGGGATTGCTGTGTGGCCATCCCCCCTGGGGGGTGATTTCTTGCTTTCTGTCTCTGTCTTTCTCTTTCTGAAGAGCGCACATGCCCTATAGCCAAAACCTCTCAAAACAAAAGACTGATTTATTTGAACCAGCAGATGGTATAATGGTTATGTTGCTGGACTACCACGTAGTCAACCGTGGTTTGAGTCCTGGACCTGGTGGGTTAAAACTCACACTTGGCGCATGTGCATGCTTATCCAAAATTCCGAGGGGAGAATGGAGGAGAAGGGATTGTGGTGTGACCATCCCTTCTGGGGGGGGTGGTGGTTTCTCCCATTCTATCTCTCTGTCTCCGGCAATCACACATGCCCTATGCCAAGAATCTCCCATTAAAAAAACAAAGAATGATTTATTTTATTTACTATTATTTTAATTTGTACTGCATGTGTGCTCAGCAGAGAGAAAGCAAGGTGCCAGGTGCAGGACTCGAACCACAGTTAGCCATGCGGGAAGTATTGTGCCTTAACCAGCATACCACCTTTTGGCCCCATAACAATTTCTTTAAAATTAAAGGTCCAAAAAAAAAAAAAAATAGAAGCTTTTTTCAGGGCCTGCAGGTGGCATAATGGTTACATCACCTGACTCCCACATGGCTAACTGCAGTTCATGCCCAGCAGCTTGAAACTCATACTGGGCACGCGTGCATACGTGTCCAAAATCTCTGTAGGAGACCAGAGGAGAAGGGTTTGAAGTGTGGCCATCCCTTCTGGGAGTAATTTCTCACTTTCTGTCTCTCTCTGTCTTGCCAGTGAGTGTAGATACCCTATAGCAAAAATCTCTTTATAAAGAAATTATTTTACCTAACTTTATTTATTTGTTTATTTATTTTTAATTTGACCAGAGAGAGAAAAAGTCAGAAAGCAAGCCACCAGGTCTGGAACTCAAACCATGGTCGGCCCTGTGAAAGTCCAGCATCCTTAACCACCATGCCACCTGCCCACCCTGCAAAAATCTCTCTTTAAAACAAAACAAAAAATAAAAAAGGAAAAGATTTGAGGAGAAGAGGCTCCTGTATCAGATCTGCAGAGAGCTTCTGGACACCGTGAAATACAGAAACAGAATAAGTTGCAAATAAGACCCATTTCAATCTATCTGAAACAAAAGACAGTGTTCTTACCCTGTGAATTAGGACTTGTATCTTTAAACTGCCACCTTGTGTGTGAAGAGGTGGGATAAGCCCACGAAAAACCTTCAGGAGGTTTTTCCACTTTTGTAAAGAGATTTTTTTCCTTTTGGCATGTCCCCTCACCATGGAGTGTGAAAGACAGAGATAGTGAGAAGGAAAGTGACCTATTCCTTTAGGCAGGAATAGGTTAGGTGGAAAATAGAATTACCTGAAATGCTAAATTGAAGCCAGTGAAGGAACAAAACCAAGAAAAGTTTAAAAACAGAACATTTACAATAGTGGTTTTCTAGGCTTTCTCTTGCAGATTTTTCTTATAGGGCAGTGTGCTCTCTGGAGAAATGGAGTTAGAAAGTGAGAAATCACCCCCCCACCCCCAGGAATGATGACCATACCATAATCTCTTCTCCTTCATTTTCCTCTTGGGATTTTGGGCACACATGCATATGCACCTGGTGTGAGTTTTAAGTCACTGGGTCCAAGACTCCAACTCAGTTGACTACATGAGAGTCCAGTGATGTAACCATTACCCCATCTGCTGGTTCTGGTTTTCTAGGATTCTGACAGTTGTTTGTGAACATTTTGCTTTGTTTTTTTGGAGGGTTGGTGACTGGAGAAGCTGACTACCATTTTACTAAGCTCGCTTCTAGTGCACTGTCAGTTGTATTTCACATATGTAAATGATTATCACTTCGTATGTTTCTCCAAGTGCAAATGCACAATAAATTCTCTGGCGAGAAATTGCCGGGATGTATTCGTGGTAAGGTACAGGAAATAGCAATAGAGAGTGTCACCAGTCCCTCCCCACACATGCATAAATATGTCTTTGCTAGGGTCTTGATCACTTGCTGTGCTCTAATGGATGGGCTTATTTTTGCTCTTATGCTTAATTTGAAATATCCTACTTCACTCATTTCTTTGTACACTCTCATTTTTCTATATTCTGAATGTGCCGTATTTATTCATTTATATTTTATCTTCCTAAATTTTCATGTATTTGAATTTGCCAGTCCTGTTTTTCATGGCTTCCTTCTTTTTCCTCTATGAGAAGATTTTCTCAACTGTTCTGTGAAAAAATGTATTTATCTGTGGCTCCCCAAAATGTCCCTTTTTAAAGTTTTATTCTTAATTTTTTGCTGTAGGATATATTCATTTACCAGGAGAAAGAGAAAGGGACAGGGAGATTGAGATATCACCCCCAGAGAATATAGCATGCAACAGTCTCTTCTCCTTCATACTCTTCTAGGGATTTTTTGGCACACATTCCTACATGCCTGGTATGATTTTTCATATCACTGGGTCTAGGAATCTAACCACATAACTGGCTTTGTGTTATCCAGTGCCTTAACCTCCATATCACCTTCTGGCCCAAATGTTTATATTACAGCATATGAAAAGCTTAATGAACACACACATGTATGTAAGCAGTCTCAGAAACAGTGATATCCTCCTCTGTACATTGGGTGATAGGACTTCAGTATCACAAGTATTATAGATCTGTTGTGCAGAGAGACATTTGGATTAACCCTGGTAGGACATTTTAACTCTGTGTATCCCACAACATGGATTTTTGTATTTTGCTAATATTTAACTGAATATATGAGTTTTGCTGTAAGTGTTGCTGTATAATTTTTTAAGATTTTTTAAAGAATTATTTTATAGAACTTTATTTGTTTATTTTAATTTGACCAGAGACGGACACAGAGAGAGAGAAAGCAAGCTGCCAGGTCCTGGACTCGAACCACAGTCAGCCATATGGGAGTCTAGCTCCCTTACCCACCACACCACCTACTGGTCCCATTTTTTAGATTTTTACGACAGGGGACATGTGCTTATCAGAGCCTGAGACAGGGAACATGATAAATCACTCCCCAGGGGTCATGGCTACACCTCAGTCCCTTTAGTCTCCTTGTGGGATTTTGGGCACGCACACACACACACCTACCATGTTTTTGAAGCCACTGAGTTAGTATTCTGACCACAGTTGGCCATGTAGAATGCACCACTTTAACCACCACACTACCTGCTGGCCCAGTTTTAGCATTATAATTGGTATGTGAGGGAAAATGATTGCACACAGAGATGAAAAATTCTGATTACCAAGTTATAGAATGAATGTTTAGAGTCCATAGCATCCTGTGAACTTCTTCTGAATTGAGTATAGATTCTCAGTGCTGTCAATCTCAGCCTTCTTCCCTCACACATGTGTGATGTTTTAGGACTCAGTGACCTTTGAAGATATGGTTGTGAACTTCACTAAGGAGGAGTGGGCTTTGCTGGATTCTTCACAGAAAAAACTGTACAGAGATGTGATGTGTGAAACCATCAAGAACCTGTACTTTACTGGTAAGGATGACAGGACAGCATTCTTTCACTTAATTAAAGAGCAGGTGTCTTTTTAAGCATTAATGCCTCAAAATTTTCAGCATAGAAAAGGGAATACTGTTGTGGAAAATTTTACAGAGTTACAGTTTATCCTGGCCTTAGAATCTAAGTTTTAAAAATACTTTTGTAATTCATAGAATTTCTGGGTGTATATTTTAGGGAGAAACTTGGAAGACCAGAGTATTGAAGATCAGTATCAAAATGCCTGGAATAATCTAAGGTAATCTGCACTCACAAAAGAAAGCAATATCCTTTGCATGCCTGTCATGAAATTTAGACACAAGCAAAGGAAACCTAGCTTCAAGCTTCCTTTTCCTACAGATTTTTTAAGAAAATATCTCCTTCAATGGGACCAGCAGTTGGGATAATGGCTATGTGTCTGGATTCCCATATAGTTGACTGTGGTTTGAGTCCTGGACCGAGTGGCTTAAACTCATGCCGGGCACATTTGTGTACGTGCCCAAGATCCCAAGAGGAGAATGGAGGAGAAGGGATTGTGGCGTGGCCATCCCCCTGGGGGGTGATTTCTGACGTTCATCCCCCTAGGGGGTGATTTCTCACTTTCTGTCTCTCTGTCTTTCTGGCAAGCACACACGCCCTATAGCAAAAACCTCTCCAAAAAGAAATAAAAGAAATCCCTCCCTCAATGTGATATAAACATTTGGGACTTGCTAAACAGTTTTCTTGTAAAGAGCATTATAAAAGTGTATATAGGGCCAGCCTGTGGCATGCTGTTAAGATGGCTAGAATCCCACATGGCTGAGTTTATACTTTTAGTTTTAGACCAGATGTGTATGGGTACATGACCCAAATCCCAAGAGGAGAATGTGGTATAAGGGATTGTGCATGGCCATCCATCAGGGATTAATTTCTCACTTTCATTCTTTCTCTGTCTCTCTCCAGACAGCACATATTCCCTATAGTAAAAGTAGTTGGGACCCATTGTAGAACACACAGAAAATCAAAAATTAAGTGTCTTAACCCTCCATATTACCAGATAAAGGCACAAGAGATATTTAGTTTTTGTTTGTTTTTCTCTACAACTCTCTTTTGCCTCTCACCAGAGAGAGAGTGAGTGAGAAATCATTTTCCAAGGTGAATGTTCACCACACAATCCTGTCTCTTCCCATTTCCTCTCAGGATTTGGGGCACACATGCATATGAACTCAGTGTGATTTTCTAGGCTCCTGGACTAGGACTTAAACAGTGTAATTGGCCATGTGGTATCCAGTGCCTTTACCTCTACGCCACCTGCAGGCCTTGTTTAGTGCTTACTATTTTATAAAGAACTTATCCTAAAATCTCTAGTGATTTTTTTTTTTTATTCTTTATAAAAGTTATGTGCTACAGCAACTATATGAAATAGAAGACAGTCCATGTGGAAAACCCATCAGTCATATTACAGACAACCACCAGGATGAACAATTGCCTTCTGGATTTAAACCTTGTAAGAGCTGTGCCTGTGGGGAAGACTTGGCTCATTCATCTGTTAGTAGGCACATGAGAGCTCATAGAGGACAGAAACCATATGACTGTAAGGAATGTGCAGAGAAACCACATGAACATCAGCAAAATAGAAGAACCTTCATTTCCTACGAAACTGTGGGAAGAGGCATGAAATCCCAAAGTGGAGTTGGACCTTGTAACTTCAAGGTCTGTTGGAAAACTTTGGATTATCAAAATCCATTTCAGTTACATGAAAAAACACACACTGGAGAGAAACCCTACGAGTCCCTTCAGTGTGGGAAAGGCTTTGCTTCTCCTAGTTGTATTCAAAAGCATGAGATTACTCATATAGGAGAGAAACCCCATGAATGTGCAGTATGTGGGAAAACATTTGGTTGCCTCAGTTCTGTTAGGAACCATGAAAAAAGTCACTCTGGAAAGAAACACTTTGAGTGTCCCCAGTGTGGGAAAGCCTTTATTTCTTCCAGTTATTTTCAAAATCATGAAAGAATTCACAGAGGAGAGAAACCCTTTGAGTGTACGGTATGTGGGAAAGCCTTTGGTTTTCTCAGTTCTGTTCGAAACCATGAAAAAACTCACACTGGAAAGAAGTCCTGTGATTATCCCCAGTGTCAGAAAAGCTTTATTTTTTCCAGTTCTATTCAAAACCATAAAAGAACTCACACTGGAGAGAAACCCTTTGAGTGTAAGGTATGTGGGAAAGCCTTTGGTTGTCTCGGTTCTATTCAAAAGCACAAAATAACTCACACTGAAAAATCCTTTCCTTGTATTCAATGTGGAAAAGCCTATCCTCGTTGCTGTTGTGTTCAACAGCATGAAAGGACTCAAACTGGAGAAAAACTCTATGAATGTAGGGGATGTGGGAAGGTCTCTGGTTGTCTCAGTTATGTTAAAAAATATAAAACAACTCACACTGGAGAGAAATCCTATGAGTGTAAGGTATGAGGGAAAGCCTTTGGTCATCTCAGTCCTATTCAGACATGAAAGAATTCACATTGGAGAGAAACTCTATGTCCCAAATGTGGGAATACTGTCTCTTGTTTCTGTTATTTTCAAGAGCATGAAAGCTCTCACTGTAGAGAAACCCTTTTAATGTAAGCCATATTGGAAAGTCTTTAGTCCTCCCAGTTGTATTTGAAAACCATGAAAAAAACTTACACTGGAGAGAAACCCTGTGAGTTTAGTTATGTGGGGAAAACTTTGCCTCAGTTTTGTTCATATACATGAAAGAACTCATACTAGAGAGAAAGCCTATGAGTGTCCTGTGTGGGAAAACTCTCCTTGTTCTGTTTAAGATTATGAAAGAGGGAAACCTATGATTGTCCACATGCAGGAAATCCTCTTGTGCATGGTCTGTTTGAGACTTTGAAAACATTCACTGGAGATATAACCGGCGAATGTAAGATATATGGAAAAGGTTTTGGTTTTCTTAGTTTTGTTCCAAACCATAAAAGAACTCACAGTGTAGAGAAACTCTGTAGGTGTCTCCAATGTGGGAAAGCCTTCTCTTGTTTCTGTAATGTTTGAAAGAACAGACTCAAAGTGGTGAAAAACTTTATGAATGTAAGAGGTGTGGGAAAGCCTTTATTTTCCCATTTCTGTTAGAAACTATTAAAGAACTCACACTGGATATAAGCCCTTAGTGTTTCCATTGTGGGAAAACCTCTCGTTCCTGTTGTTTGAGAGCATGAAAAGATCCACTGGAGAGAAACCGTATGAATGTAAGCAATGTGGGAAAAGTTTTAGTTTTCCCAGTTGTGTTTAAAAACATGGAAAAATTCACACTGGAGAGAAACCATAAGGAATGTGGGAAATCCTTTCCCATTTCTGTTAGAAACTATTAAAGAACTCACACTGGATATAAGCCCTTAGTGTTTCCATTGTGGGAAAACCTCTCGTTCCTGTTGTTTGAGAGCATGAAAAGATCCACTGGAGAGAGACCCTATGAATGTAAGCAATGTGGGAAAACCATTTCTCTGTTTTGTTCCTTTCAAGTCTATGAAAGAACTCACAGGAGAGAAACCCTATGAGTGTAAGCAGTGTGTTAAACCCTTCTCTTGTTTAATGTACTTAAGATATCATGAAAGAACTCTCACAGGCAAGAAACTATATTAATGTAAATGTGGGAGTCTCCTACGTAGTTACAAAATCATAAAATACACAGGAGAGAAACTATTAGTGTAAGCCATGTTAGAAAGCCTTACATTTATATTTTAAAAGAACTATTTTATTGAACTTTATTTTAATATGATCAGAGAGAGAGAGTGAGAAAGCAATCCACCAGGTCTGGGACTCATGGTCAGCCATGTAGGAGTCTAGTACCCTTAACCACTATGCCACCTGCTAGCCCCTGAATGCCTTATCTTGTTCTATATACTTAAGAACTCATGAGAGCTTGCACAGGAGAGAAACACAGTGAATGTAACAAATGTGGGAAAGTCTTGTTTCCCCAGTTCTATTAGAAACCATGAAAGCACGCTGGAAGAAGCTCTTGAGTGTGTCTAATGTCAGAAAGCCTACTTTTGTTCTTCTTGTGTCTGAGACCATGAAACAAGTCACAGTGGAGGGAAACTATATGTATGTAAGCAGTGTCTTTGATGTGTTCAAAACTACATGAAGTGGAGTGAGACCTATGAATGTAACAGGTGTAGGACAGCCTTTGCTCATCTTTTATGTATCCAAAGGCACATGAAAATACACTGGATGTGGGAACCAGCAGTTAGCGTAATGGCTGTGTCGCTGGACTCACACGTAGTCGACCGCGGTTCGTGTCCCGGACCTGGTGACTTAAAACTCATGCCAGGTGTGTGTGCGTGCATGCCCAAGATCCCGAGAGAATGGAGGAGAAGGGATTGCAGCGTGACCATCCCCCATGGGGGTGATTTTTTGCTTTCTGTCTATGTCTCTCTGGCAAGCACACGTGCCCTATAGCGGAAAAAACTCAAAAAATAAAATAAGATAAAATAAAAATACACTGATGAAAACCCTATGAATGCAAAAAATATGGGAAAGCCTCTCTATCCCAGTTCTGTTCTGAAAGTACTCATCACAGGTTAGAAACACTCAACGTGATGTGGAAGAGCCTCAGCTTGGTCATGTTTGGAGACATGGAAAAACTTCCACTGTAGAGAAAGCCTTGTAGTCTACATAAGTGGACAAGCCTCAATGAATCAGTCTTCAAAAACATAAAATAACACAGGATAGGAACACAAGGTGTGTTAGCCATGCTACTTTCCTCTACTTTTGAATATATTTAAGAATTTGCACAGAATAGATACCTGAGTTTTAGGAGTGTGGAAACATACTTTCTCAGTCCATTAGTTTTTGAAAAGCTCAAAAGAAACTGGAGAGAAATCCTATGAGTGTAAACAACAGGAAAGCTACCTTAGCCCAGTCACTTTTAAATGTAGGGAACAAAGGCACACTGGTGAGAAGCCTTGTGAGTGTGAGCAATGTGGAAATCTACTTTCACAATTATGGAAGAACTCACACAGGACAGAAATTATGAGTGTAAACATGAGAAATCTTTTTCTCATTCCAGTTGCTTTTTTTTTTCACAGTTGAAACTTTTTTTTAAATTAAATCTCACCAGCTATCTACTTCTTGAAAGTTCTTACCATAGCTATTTCTTTAAACCCATACACTAACTCAACAGATTGGTTTCTTTTGTTTTTTTTTTTTGTTTGTTTGTTTTTGTTTCTTTTTGGAGAGATTTTCACTGTAGGGCGCGTGCGCTCGCCAGACAGACAGAGACATA